CTGGGCGTCATGGACAGACCCTGGAAAGCCAAAGAAAACATCTATAAACTTCATGTCCATGTCACACACAACCTGTAGCTGTACAGAATGAAAATTCTTTCTGTTTATGTAATGTTCTGGGTCTTTCAAGGGGGCTTGAATAGGGATTTGGGTACCGTCAATAGCGCCCAGTATACCGGGGAATCCACTTTGTTCTTCAAACTTTTGAATGGTGTTTCTTGCGTCGTTTCCTTCTGCGAGATGAATAAATCTCTGTGCCAAGTTTTTCGTTATAGCTGTACAGACTTGCATGTGTACTTCATAACAAGTTGACCGAGAAATGTCAAATCGATCTGATACCGATCTAATACACTCGGGGTTCACTAGCATCCAAATGGTAATGAGGATTTGCTTCCTAAGATCAACTGGTGCTCTGCCTCCATGGTCATGGGCTTGATAAGGGATGATCTCTGGACAAACACGAAGCAGACCTTCAAGAAAAGCAACGCTCTCTCTACTCATCCGAAAATGACGTCGAAAACAATCTGGACTATACCTTGGTACCATCACTTCGAAATATCCAACGATTCTTACTCGATTTAAGGGAAACCTGCCCTTTCTAAGCACAGAAAGCAGCAGAGCAACATCTGAGTCACCATGCTCCAGAATTGTGACACATCTGACAGCTTATCCAACACACAGCAAGAAATTGACCCGGAGACAAACACAGAAAATATGACTCCACCTACTCCACAAGACATTGCGCCACCTCCAATCCAAGCATCTGTAAACAATAAAGCTGTTTTTCTGTGCGATTCGAATGGAAAATTTATCGACAAAAGAAAGCTTTTTCAGCCAACACAAGATTTCACATTCTTCAGATGTCCCAAAATTGAACACGCAAGGGCTATTTTACAAGATGAAATTGATAAAGAATCGGCTGGACATCCTCAATTAATCATAATCCACACCGGAACAAATGATCTTACTACAACCACGCCAATAGACGACCTCATCTCTGATATATCTGTATTAATCACTAAAGTATCTACAAAGTTCCCAAAGAGCAAAATGGTCTATTCAACTCTCTTGCCGCGAATTGACATTCCCCTGCATACTTTATCCAAAATAAACACAAACCTTATTGACAGCTGCTCAAAACTACCAAACGTCCATCTAGTCAATCATGAAAATATCTTCTCCAAGGGAACTGAAGTGTTGCATGGCAGAAAACATCTTAAAAAAAGACACCTTGGTTTGTTCGCAGCAAACTTAAAAGCAGCCATTCGTGGTAGAGGAAAACCACCTCGCGCCAACTCCAGCCAATTGTACCGATCCTCACTCTCTTTGTCGTACTCGTTTCACACTAGCCCTTCGGAAGGCTATCCTCCCTCCAGCAATGGTGTTAGGAACATACACCGCCAAGTCCACCAGACTTCGCGGGAGCAACAACCTTTACCTTCCCGTTTCCCATATACAACTTCCTCGGGTGATGCCTCTTATAGTAATGCTGTTAAAAATGGTCACAACACCTACAACATTCCGCAAGCACCGCAACAGCAACAGAACTTTCCGCCGCAACACTACAATGTACAGAGCTTCTCACCGTTTCACTTAGCGGCAGTGGGACCGATTCCTTCTGTTCCTCTCCAAAACGACTGTGCTGTTGGAAAAGTCCAGGCAGTTGAAATCCCAAAGGAACTGGTATCTTTAATCCAATTTTTTAAGACGCTTTTTTAATATCTTATACATAACCCACAACTTTCATTGTAGTAGTTAGCTAGTTTGCCGGGATATCTGATTTAAGCTTTCTTTTCTTCAGGTACTAAGTTTGATACAATATGCCAGGGCCCTTAAGGTTCCCCAGCAAATTATCTTTTTTCGCTTGGAACATTAATGGGCTATCGTCGACATTATTAGGGGAAAAATTGCAAAATTTGGATTGTAAAAACATGATCAATTCTTTTGATTTCGTAATTCTCTCCGAAATATGGAAAAAAGTGACTGTTGAAGTAAACGGTTACAAGATTGTGACCACAGATACCTTGAAAACAGGAAAATGCGGACGTAACTCGGGTGGAATAGCTCTGCTCTATTCCCGCTACTTTCGACCTGAACTATTTGAAGAGCTTGAAAGCGACATCGAGAAATTCTCCTCCCTTGGTTCAATTCTTACTATGAGAGACTTTAACTTTAGAGTAGGAAAACACCCGGACAGTGTTTGTCAAGAAGGTAATAAGATAATAAGAAACGATTTTTCTGAATCTTCGTTATGCGCCACCCAACGAAAAAGTTTTGACAATGATTTGAATAATCACGGAAAACGACTCTTGGAAATTTGTAGAAGCGCGGATTTAAGAACTTTAAATGGTAGAATTAATGGCAACTCGTTAGGCAGGCCTACATTTCATGGTAAATCGGGAATCAGTGTCATTGATTACTCCATATGTGACCAAGATTTGCTACGAAATATAACATCTTTTGTAGTGAAAGAGCCGAACAGTTTATCAGATCATGGTCCAATAATAACATGGCTTAAGGTTAACCGTCATTTAGATAATGACTCATCAAACGAGGCAATTATAAATGATTCTTTGACTCCTCTACCAAAACAGGTTTTTTGGGAAAACGATTCGTCACCAAAATTTAGAGCTACATTACAGTCTGAAGACATTCAAAGAATGATCCACGATTTTATGAATACTACAACAATCACGAGAAATGTTGACATGAACCTTCATGCTGTAGAAAATATTCTTATTTCAACCGCCAAACGCTGTTTGAAGATCAAAACAGCAAAAAAGCGACGTTGCAAAATATCTTCGAACAAAAAATGGTTCGACAAAGAATGCCGCTATAAAAGACATGAACTGCGGAAACTTTCTAATCAAAAACATAGAGATCCTCTAAACAATACCCTCAGGGAAGAGTATCACAAAGTCTTAAGAGCGACTCCGCGTAACTATCAACTACACGTGGAAATAGTCAAAAAATGACCTCCCCTCAAACTCAGCCAGAATGAAGCCCTGTGGGCCCTAGTTACAAAATCGTTGGTTTAAGTTCGATCGATTGAACGGTATTTTTTTAACGAATTTTTTCTTCCCGAGGCCTAAAATGGCTAAAATTATGCAAAAATTAGAGCCAGTTTCAGTGGCTCGTATGTTTAAAAATAAAGACTGTCATTAAAATATAACTGCACGTCATATCTTTATTTCTTTTCCTCTATAACTAGAACTAATAAGATCCCGATTTAGTCAATAATAGATTTTTTAACAAATTTTCAAAGTTGTTGACTCAAAATCGCTTTTCAAACGGGTCAAAATTTAGCACATTTTCAAGAGAAAAAAAAGCGTATTGGTACATGGCTTTAACCAACAAGGCTTGCTTAGTCTGAAAGAGCATTCTTTTTTCTTCAAATTGGCGAAATAAAATTTTTGGGTAAATGAAATCACGAGCTTTGACAAAGCAGAGTAAAATGCAAATATTACACTTAAAATTTGACCTCTGACCCGAGTCAAGCAACTGCGAATTATGGTAGGCGGCAAACCTTTTGTTATCTTTTGTTTTTTTTTTTTTTAGCAATATCCATCCGAAATACCTGTAGAAGAGAAGTTGTGCTAAAATACAAAAGGTGTAAGTTATAAAATCTTCGATGTAGCAAAAAATTACAAGACACAAGAAACAATTTTTGTCTTCTTCGCTTTCTGGCGCTAGCTTCAGCCTGTTATCGAATTTCAATCAAGCATGCCGGCAAATAAGTAGTTGCATAAATAAACGTTATCAGGTGACAATTACTCACCTGAAACTTTTAAGTCTGCGAGTCTATGTGGCCTTTTATAGGGGAATTGATTTCTGGAATGCCGTACGTCTTTCAGAAGGAACCGAATCATGTCACTGTTTGGACGTTTTATCGTTCATATCACGTGCCGCCTACATGTACATGTACGCTGGAGGAAAGCCACAGGCCACTCTGAAGTTAAGACCAAATATAAATGGTGTTATGGATGGATACAATGATTTTAATTTTAATAAAGTAAAAGCCAAGCTATTAGACCGCAATACTTTTGCAACTCTTTTGACTGGCCTGCATTAAATAGTTTTGTATTTATTTATCAAATTAGCGAAGCGAGAGCAGTTCAGACTGGTAATCAATTATTTGACAGGTGTCAGTAGCCTGACTCACAATTTTCCCCTGTAACCAGACGCAAAAAAGTACTGCCTTGGAATTTTGTTAGTTTTATTTGATTACGTTAATATGCAGGAACACTTAAATAAGACGAAAGAAAGAGGTTGATTAGTTGAGGGAGTTTTCAGTACTCAGTTTTTATATACTGTGTCGCCTGGAGCGCTCCACTCGCCAAAATGGCTTCATGTGAATTTTCTAAGTATGTCGGAGGTGATTGTGGAGCAAGCTTAGTACTTCCAAGTGGTGATTTGTGTGTAAGAATTTCTGAATGCTCTAAGGACATCAAAGGCCACCTCAAGACGTGCGGCGTTTCAGATGGTACACTATGTTCGGAGGCGACGCTTCTGTTGGCGCGTGCAGGTAAATCAAATTCTATTCGAGTTTCACCTGTAGCACGAATGAAACAGTTATTTTATTCAACTTATGTAACAAAAATGTGCCTAATCATAGGTATCTTTGAGGAACAAGAGCAATATTTTAATCTCTCTATTTGCCCAAGACACCGCGATGCATTTGGTCTTAGATGGCGAAGCAACCGAAAATTATGTTCTTCTCCAAGTTCATGGGCTTTTCACAGAAAAGCCAATGTGAAGGGCGAGCGAGGGATTACACTGATACAGTCTCACCGCCTCTACATGGCCTGCAAAATCGTCATCCCTGTTGGCTCAAGTAAGTTAGTTGAAAGTGGAAATAGTGCCGGCCACACCCTGTCCATTTTCCCCTTTTGAACCTGACGCCTCTAATTTTTTAAGGTTTAGACCATTTATTCACTTAGAATACTTGCTAGGTTGCTTTATATATTTAGTTCGATATTTAAAAAATAGTTTGTTTATAATTAAAAGGCTTATCATTAGGCCCACTGGCAAAAAGCCGCTGAGGATGTAACTTTCGCGGACTATATTTCCCTAATAAAGTTCTGTGTATATTCTTTTGAGGTTTCAGTTGGATAAGCTAAAAAGTGATTTTTCTTTCTTAGCGATTTGTACACAATGTCGCAAAAGAATCGACGAAATCAATGAAAGCAGTGAAGGACAATCGGCAGCAGAGGCAGCTGTACCCATAATGAACAGTCCGGAAGCCACTGAACTGGATGAGGTTAGGACAAGATTTATCCTTCATTTTCAAGTGGTAAAATTCTTAGAACACGAAAATAGTTACTTATCAATACCAAGAGAAAATTTAAAAACCAACGTTCAGATTTCAGGAAACCATACATGTATATCCAGTTCTGGTTATAGCACGGACTGATTTTTTCACATTGCATCCGCTCATGATTACTGCACATAACAGGTAATGGCTACCTTGAAAGAGAGAAAGAAAAAGTTTATGCAGAAACATTATTAAAATAATGTCGATCGAGTAGAACGTTAATAGAATTTCAATTGCTTTTTCCGCCTTTTCGTGTATCCCTTACACGTAAACTCGGCCCAGTCCTCGCTCACTTATCTTTTCAAGCCCCTGATGAATGATATAATATCCCACAACCTCGTCGCCAGGGCTTTTCCCTCCAAAAAATGGGAGGCCCCACCCATTTTTTTGAGGGAAAAGCCCTGGGGACGAGGTTGAATCTCCCAGGCAACACAGTAAAAATCGTGCTTGTTTGTCAAGATTTGTGCTGCTCGCTGTTATGACCAAAAGACCTCTACGTTTTTATTATCTTATATTATTTTACTGACTTGTTGCTGCAGTGTACCAAGTTTCATCGAAAAGACTCATTATTGCTGAATCATTATTCATTATTTTTTTGTTTTTGTTTTTGTTTTTACCGCGAGTCTCTTTTTTTTTAAAGTAGTAAACCAACCCTTTCCTCAAAATTTCAGGGGACGGTGAACGATGAATTCACGGAATTATATACAGGAATAATGGAAATGTCATTGAAAGATGAAAGTTTATTCGTTCCTGACGAGGACAGTGTCAGTAGCAGTGACGAGGAATCATCGACCGCGGTGACGGGAGAGCCTAGTAACGAGTATATACGAAGAGAGCACCTTAACAGATTTCTTGAAACTTGTAACGTCCAAAAATTAACTCGACCAAGGAAGAGATGGGCTGAGGCAGGTGCGCGCACGCATAGCAACCACGTGAAAAAGGCTAAAGACGTTATTGTAGAGGCTTTAGATGTTATCACGCCTGGTGATGCGGCTCATTTATGGGATGCACTTCAGTCTTCAATGCTTGTCGACAAAGAGCTTGGATATGAAGGTAGTGCCGACCGCAAATATCTTGAAGCCTTGGCAGAAACATACAAAAATGCATCCGCCTGGGATACTAAAAGACAGGTCTTGTCCATAATGGCTGATCTAGTCCCCATCGAACGCCTTCAGAGGTATCTACCTGGTATCACTGAGTACCGAGTGAAAACTGCGCGACTGCACAAACATGTTTATGGTCGAGGGAATCCACTTCCATCAAGGTATAGTCCCCGAATGAGAGTAGAGGCCACCCAGCTTGATCATTTTTTGACGTTTATAACAAGTCCGCACATCATACAAGATCTTCCATTTGGGCAAAAGTACATAAAGCTTTCAACTGGCGAAGTACTGGAGACACCAAACGTAATTCGAAGTATGATTCCAGAACGTATTGTTAAGCAGTACACTAAATACTGCGACGAATTCGGGTTCAAACCATTTGGACGTACAACAATGTTGGCTATCCTCGCAGCCTGTAGCGCCACCGTAAGAAAGTCGTTGCAGGGAATCGACTATATTGCCGCAGAAGGAGGCAAAGCTTGCGACGACCTATGCAATGTAGTGAAGCGACTAGAGGAATACGGGGTATTGAAGACAGATGTTTCTGAGCTGTGGAGAAGTTGTGTAAAGAGTGCAAAGCAATATATAAAGTCAGATTACAAGGTATTCGAGGCTAGTCTCATAATGGAACAAAACGAAAAAAATGTCAATTTCGATGTAATGTTCCTTATAAAATTCGGTGCGATAGCACAGTATGATAGAAAAAATAGACCTAATTGGATGTATTCAGTCCACATGACAATTTACCGTTGGTGTCAGTTTTGACTTTTTTGTCATGAAGCATACTTTTGCACTATTTTACCTTTGTCGTTTAAAATTATATCGCTTATTGCTTTTATTACAATTTTGTTACATAGGTGCACGTATCTCCCTCTTCGCCCGTGGCTGACCACTGTAGCGTATACGCTCTAAGCGATGACAAGGAACCCTTGTTCAGCAGCCCTTGCGATCACGATCATGATAGGACGTGCCCCCAATGTGAAGAACTAACAGCCTTAGTGTCTGCCATTCAAGAATACTTAGAAAGAGAGGATCTGGGATTTCCAACTGCAGAGTTAGATGACTTACGCCATGTGGCCGATGAAGCAGCCCAAAACATTCTGTCTTGGAAGGCTCATCAGCTGAGAAGCAAAATTCAGGACATGGCCAGAGTAGACGCACTTGAACAACTAGACAATTCGTCTGTAATGATCACCCAAGACTGGGCCATGAAATTTTTGCCACAAAAATACCGCGAATCTCAGGCAGACTGGTTTGCCAAGAGAGGCATCTCTTGGCACATAAGCGTGGTGGCAAGAAGACTTAATGGAAAACTTCAGAATCAGTCTTTCGTCCACATTGTTAAAAACTGTAACCAAGACAGCTCGGTAGTTATCCGCATCATGGAACACATACTGCGCACACTAAAAACGGAGAATCCTGAAATTTCTACAGCATTTTTTAGGCAGGATAACGCGGGATGTTACCATAATGCTACCATGCTTGCTGCATGCCGCTCTATGGGTGATGTCACTGGAATCGCTGTTTCTAGAGTAGACTTTAGTGATCCTCAAGGTGGCAAAGGCCCGTGCGATCGCAAAGCAGCCACCATCAAAGCTCATGTTCGTAGATTTGTTAATGAGGGACACGATGTTCAAACTCCAAAGGACCTTGAAACCGCGATGCTATCAGCTGAAGGAGTACCTGGGGTAAGAGTGACACTTATCGATTCATTAGGTATCAAGGACAGCCCCATAAAATTGGATGGCATCAGCTTGATCAACAACCTACAGTATACTGGTGCGTCAATGTGAGTATGGCGATCCTACAACGTCGGCTGTGGAAAAATCATCGAAAAACAGCTACCAACAGGTTGTTATAAATATTTTTTTTATACACGCGAACACATTAAAATACCTTTTTTTGTTCTCAGTTGCATTCTCTCGTGTGGCAAAAACTTTCCGTACAATAACGCGAGGACATATATTTTAACTCTTACCATCAACATAGCTGTTTTATAATTTCACAGTATGCGCAGACTTTTGCGGATACATTATCGTACGCATCCCACAAGACACTTAGGACAACAACATAATCAGAGCGTAACAAAGTAAGATAAAGACGTAAGTGTGAACCATTTGTCACAATGTTTTCTTATTTGGTTTCAGCTACAAACAGCTTCTGTGGTAATTTTCAAGAGAAATTTTCAGCCGGCGACTTCTTGGATGTTGGTAAAGAAGGATGTCCAGCGTTACCTCTTGAGTCTTCTAAAAATCAAAACTTTGCTAAAGGGCCAGAGGAGGCAGAATTTGATCCAGGTCTTTTCCAATGTCCTAACGAAGGATGTGTTAAAAGTTATCAGAGTTTTTCAGCCCTTGAAAAGCATCTGTCTTTTGGAAAGTGTGAAATGCGAGCAGAAAGAGTCACCCTTCTTGACCAGGCGAGGCAATTGTACCGCGCCAAGCTAACAGAAGGAACAAGCAAAGACGTGACAAGCCATTGTGCTGAAGCTTTTGTTTCAGAAAGCGTAGTAAACACCAGTCAAATTGTTAAAGGGTGGGCGTTAAAGCAAACGAAAAAATCTGGACGACTCAGCGAATCACAAATGGGGTATCTTCACGAAAAGTTTAAAATCGGTCAGAAAACAGGTTACAAACAGGATCCAGCTTCCGTAGCTCACGACATGCGTTACGCCAGAACGGCTGAGGGTGAACGGCTTTTCACCCGTAGTGAATTTCTAACTGCGCAGCAAGTTCAGTCGTACTTCTCTCGACAAGCAGGCAAACTGCGCAATCAATCTACCGAGGATGAGAGAAGAGATCATGACGCTGCTGCCGAGCAACAGCAGTACTGGGATACTCGAGAACAAATCCTTCGAGAGGTTCAACTGCAACACCCCATCACCTACGACAATTTTGACCTATGCGAAATGTATCACGCAAGTTCCCTAAACAAGTTCAGTGTCAACATGTTACAAAGTATTTGCCAATATTTCGGTATGGAACAACTAACTGTTCGTCGCAAGGCACCATACATTGCCCTTATTGGCGAATTGATCCAGTCATGTACCTGCAATAACAATAGTTAGAAACTGACAAAGTAGGCTCTCTGGAGTAGGTCTTTGGTGTAAAAAATCGCGCTATAAGTATTTGTTGCTAACAAACCCTGTGTCTATCAGTTGACCAGAACTCAGGAAAATTTCATTCCTTCAGAAACCAGGAAGAAAACTATCTTTATTTTTTATTGGTTAAAGGGAACAATCGCTCGCTTGCTTTATTT